GCATTAGGTAAAAAACATCATTTCAGTTACCAAGGACTCTGTTTCATTACCAGGGCAAATGTGCAAAAGCAAACAATGACAGAAACTCCTCCAACATTTTAATGTTTCATTATTTAAAACGGGTTTTTAAAAATTAGAGTTTGAAAAAGTTCCTTAAACTTTGTTCAGTTGGCTTTACCTAATTCCCCTTGCCTTCCTATTTTAGAGGAAAACTGAGGCCTACTGAGGTTAGTGATTTTTTCCAAAATCACACTGGTAGTTAAAAGAAGCACGGCAGGGAGAGGCCAAATCTCCTGACACCCAGAATCATTCTTTCCTACTACATCATAAAACCTTACTTATAATTCATTCAGTGGAGGCCTCTTTTTCTTTTCATTCACTGTTATGTGGAATAAAGTGTAGTGAAGAAACCATGGCTTCTGAGACAGACAAACAATGGGGTAGGACTTTTCTGACAAATTACACTGCTTTGCTTAGCATTAAGGCCGGTCCTATATAAGACCATTAATAGCTGGATTGTCCAAAAGAAAGGATAATAAACCTACACTCATAACCAAAGATCAGATATGTGAGTTTGTACCTGCTCAGACTTTATGCTCCTGTCCAAGGATTTTATGACAGATTATATGAAAACTACTAAGCAAAGCTAACAGGAAAAAAAAGTGAAGATAAAAGAATGGCAAGGTTAATACTAATTAATAATTTATTAGAAAATGCCACAGCAAATAAGCTTTAGGGCTTACTACAAGGGTAATAACTCATCTAATAAGTTAAGGAGGTAATCAAAATCAAGGAAATCTAGTTTCAAAGTGTTGAGTAGTTTTCATGAGCTCTAGCAGGGCCCTTTTTATATTCATACATGTTTTCCCCATCTCTCCTAAATAATTTTGATAAACCTGTTTTCAAAAAGTGCCTTAAAGGTGGTATCATTGTCTAAACTTAAAGCATATTGATCCATTTTTCAGTTATGGTATTTTTTGAGGTTGTACACAAATTTTACCACTACTTAAGCTAAAGGAAAAAAATATGCTAATTGTACTTTTTTCAGCCTTAAAATTCTCTCCGCGTTTGTTTTAAAAATGATGAATCAGCTTTCCATGCAGACAGTGCTCTCGCCAACTTGGTGAATGCTCTTAAACCCTACAGACTTTCTGTAAGAAGTGTGGCCAGCACAAGCTGACAAAGTAACACAGTAAAGGAACGGCCAGGACTCCCTGTATGTGCAGGGAGAGCAGCGTTGTGACAGGAAGCAGAGTGGCTGCAGTGGGCAGCCTGAGCCGATTTTCAGCTAAAAGGCCGACACTATAAAGAAAATTGTGTTGAGCCTAACTGCAGATCTAAGAGAAAGCTGGCTATTAAGATATGCAAGCATTCTGAACTGGGAGGAGATAGGAAGAGAAAGGGCCAAGTGATCCAGTTCTAAGCTTCATGTCATTATGTGCCGATATAATCTTGAGGACAAAAAAAATGCTGAATCATGAAATTAAGGAAACAGACATGTAAAGAACCCAAACAAGTAGTTCATCGCATATGTCAAGTTTCCTAATTATGTTACCTTATCATTTTGGTCTTCTTAATCATTTGGAACCAAGTAACTTGAAGGGTCCTAGGAGCTAGAAGAGTAGAGCTCATTCTCAGAAACTGAACTCGAGGATAAGGCTAAAGGCATTTATTTCTACAAGTTACTATACTTTTTACTTCCTGTTTCATTTATGCAGCTCATCATGACCATTTCAGGTAACAATGCAGAAGTTAAAAAACCCAACTTCCTCTTTATAAAGTGATAAAAACTTCAGCAGTTAGTTATGAGAATGGTCGATCTTACTAGCTTTTATAGAAATACTTGCAAGGAAATCACCAAATTCACCTTTGGGTTCAGTGATTTTGGAAAATGTAAGAAAGTAAAAAGCTGTATTAAAACAGATTTGGCATCATGACATACATGCCTTAAAAAAACCCAAATCAAATGCGGTTGCGGTCTTGGTTAAAAACAGAAAAAATGAAAACTTAAGAGTTCCTTCAAGGAAGAATACAAATTAAGGCTAAAAATATCTTTTAAAAAAATTGTTTGCAACAGTGCCTTGGTTGTTAAAATTTTATAGGTAAATATCTCACTTAAGGGTTACTTATTGTTTCTGAATGCTAAGATACTCATTTCAACAATGAAATGAATTGAAAATGAGTTGTTAGAAAAATAGTTTCTCAATTCTTGAATTCAGTTAAAAGGAAGCCTGGGGGAAGAGGAGGCAAGTTAGGTATGAGGCTGAAGAGAACTGAAGGAATCTTACAGGTCAAAGCTCTTCCTTCTTACTTAGAGATCCACAGCAGGGAAGTACATATCAGTTCCACCATTGTAAGTAAGAACCTAACAAATTTCAAAAACTTCAAATTATGTGGATTTTTGGAGACATTTATTATATCAGTTATTCTTAATTATCCACACTAATGAACACAGTGTGGTTAATCTAAAAACTGTTTACTGAACATCAAATTCGTCAACATATTTGGGCAGATGTACCTTACTGATTTTGATTTGCTTATTATGCCATTCATTAAGCACTAAAAGAAGCATGCTGGGAAATAAGAGGAACCAGGTCATATCTGCTATCATAAAATCAATACTATTAATATTATAAACACTGTATCTGTTTACAGATATCTTAATTTGCACTTTGAAATAAATGTATATATTGTCCCAAGTTGAATTAAAAAGGTGTTCTAACCCAGTGTCAAAGACAAACACTGAAGAACACCGGTGAATGTGGCATTGTTTGGGCACAATAAACTTCAAAGTTTACTGTTATTTAAATGTTCAGTGAAACTGTGTTGTAACAACAGTTTTGCTTGAAATACTTGCACCATCAGTTGGCTCACAAGTACTGTGTTATACCCTGACATTGACTGCAATTTAATTTCACCTGAATCATAACTATATGCCTTAGAACAAGTGTTTATTATAGTTTTCTCTCCAGCACAAATTCATGTAAAATGCCTTCCCCCCTAAACATACACATGTACGAGAATTTCCATGAAAGAGAACATTTACCACTAAAGTGCATTTTGAGATGGCATGAAGTATGTAGGTATATTGTATCAAATTACTCCATCCAGAGGACTCCCGGATCAACAACAGTCCCCTCCACCATCCCAGTCTCTCTTATAGAAAAACAGAAAGAGCAGAGGTACATCACAGAACACTCAAGGGTGCACATTTTGTAACGGTCACTATGGGAAACAAAAGATATCACTCTTGTCCTATAGTGAGTCATCTAGTGAAATCTCATTTCTACGGGCCCAAAAATCACATGAAAAGCCCGACGAATTGTGAAGAAAGGTGTGCAGGTGTCAGGAAAAAAAAAAATCTACCTAACACAGAATATGCTCTTATACTTCAGACACTTTTGAAAAAATAAGTACACAAATTACACTGACAAATTCAAGGATAATCAAAGACACCCCAGTGGAGCATTAGAGAAGTCACGGTACTTTTGTCCAGACCTGAATGTGTCAACATGAGGTTTCTGTGCCTTATAAAACCATCCTGGAGTTAAAGAGGAATCCGTGGGCTACGCTCAATCGGTTAACAAGAAACTGAAAAGTATTCTTTAATTACTATCTCTAAGAGGATGTAAGACGCAAGGGAGGGAGTCGCCGCGGGGCCCTCTGCCCCAACATACAATCCAGGGAAGAGTGGTGCTCGAATTCTGCATGAGGCGCACACATTTAGTACTGCGAATTAGTTCCGCTTATAGTTTGTAAGCACAGATGGATAGGGACCTCTCTCTGTCCAGGAGTCGTGACAGCAAAATCACTTCCTGGGGAAGGAGGAGCAAAAGGGAAGTTAAGGGGCCACCCTGACCAGGAAGTGGCTCGCCCTAAACTCGCCTCGATCGCACCTAAAAATGGGGGGATGGGGTAAGCCCTACCAGCTCAGGGCGGTGAAACCACCGCCTCTGAACACGTCGCGACATCACCGTCGTGCCCTCTCTTAATCGACTCTATAGCCACGATTCAATACGGGAAAGTCTCTTCCCTTGCAGGAGGGCCACTGGGCTGTGCCTCAGGGCCAGGAGGGAAGGAGTCGAGAAATGGGGAACTGGGGCCACCGGGAGCCAGGGTAAGCCCCTCAAGAGAAAAGCGTCCCAAGTGCGGCAGGCGTACGCGCGCACGGGCCAAAAAGCTCCCTTCCGCTGGGGTCCTTCCCAGGGTTCCCCCTGCAGCCGGGCCGAGCCCCAGTTGCCTGTCGCGGGAGGAGGTGAATGTGAGAGAGGTGCGCCCCTTACCTTCTCCTCATCCGACACCCGATCCTCGAAGTCGGCCATCTTGGCTGCTCTGGCCCAGCCCGGCCCGGGCGCGAGGCAGGCCGGGAAGGAAGCCGAGTGAGGGAAGCACCGGAGGTGGGGGCCGTCGCGAAGACCCGCCCGGGCGGAGTGGAGGACCCGCCCGGAAACGCCGAACCAGAGGGCGCCATGTCAGTTACGGGCGCCGGGGCGGCCCCAGAAAGTCGCCTTTGCCTCAGATGATTTTTAAGTCTGATATCGTTCTCTCTGTTACATACATTTCCTCACTCATCTATGGAGGGCGCGTGTTTCGACTGTTCTCGGCGCCCGAGCTCCATGCGACCGAAAAGCAATTGCTATTCCTGTAGGTTTTCCCAGGACCAGTGATTTCCATGGCAGACGAGTCCAAAAGAAGTGCGGCTCGGCCCTGCTCGATCGGCAGCTTTTCCGAGCCCAGGAAAGGGGAGGGGGCTGAAAGGTGACCCTCACTCGCACGGAAGCAACACCACTTCACTCCGGGGTCACATCTCAGCCTAGTGCCTGCAGGAGTAGGTGCCGCTCTCCGCACCCTCGGAGGGAATAGGGAGCCCCAGCCCTGGGACGCTCCTTCACCTTCCAAATCTCGGTCCCTGTTCCCTGGGCCGCTCGGCCTCCGCAGAGGCCAACCTCAGGTCCGTCACTATCCCAGGATTCCCGACGCCGGGTTTCCTGCCCATCTCTCCCTCCCAGCGCCCGGCGCCTGAGGGAGCGGCAAGATGGCGGACGGTGGCGGCTTGGCTGAAGCCGCGACTGCTGCGGCTTCTTCCCCGGCACCTGCTCCCGGCCTGAGCCCGCCGCTGGGCTGGAGGGAGCGGCTGCGGGCCAGGCTGGCGGGGACTGGGGTGTCGCTGTGGTTCGTGGTGGGGCTGGGGCTGGGACTGCTTTACGCTCTGAGGGTCCCGCTGCGGCTGTGTGAGAATTTGGCAGCGGGTGAGAGGCCCAGACTTCTCTGGGGACGGGCAGGGGGCAGGGGTCAAAGGGCAGAGACTCAGTGGTCCCTTTTGGGCTTCGGAGAAGGAGTCGGAGGGGTGCGACCGAGCGGGTTCTCGGTCGCAACCCCGCAGCTGGCTGTCAAAACCAGCTGCGGCCGCTGGCTCCTCCCTGGAGCCAAGGCCCGCCCTCCATCTGCTGTCCTCGTTTAGCCGGGGAGACGCCACCCGCCGAGCCGCAGGCTTCGGGCGGTAGGACGGAGCGGGGGAGCCCTCGCAGACTCGGATGCAGAATTCGTACACGCCCCCCACCCCCAACCACCACCACCATTGGTGGGAGCCCTTCCTTTGAGCCTCCCGCCGCTCGTCGGCGGGGGCCACCAACCCAGACCACAAAGATGAGCGCCTCTGAGCTTCGCTTCAGAGAGCGAATACCTAAAAGAGAGAAAATGCCGTGATCTTAACCGCCCATCCTCACGTTTTAAAATGGTTCTGTCGAGCCATCGTTTTCGTGATATTTTTGGCTGTTCTTGGCTTTGGCTTTATCTTGGGTACTACAATAGAAAAGCACAGGTTGGACAGATTAAGAGAGCCACCGATCGCAGCCGGCTCTTTGTTTCAACATTCGTTCAGAGCTTGCGATGTAGTGTGGGCTGAGGGTACAAAGCAAGTGGGAAGTGATGATCCCCGTGGGGTGCTGCAAAAATCACCCTTGAGCAGCCAGGACACGGGATGGGAGCCACGTCCTTACCGTGTTTCCACCCCAGCCCTGAACAGCAACCTCAGAACAAGACGAAAGCATTTCTGTTACGGGATGACTGTGACTGTCAGTACGTGGTTTATTCTGTGGCATGAAAAGACAGATGTCTCCATTTCTGTTTCACGAGATGCCACGAAAGACCGAGAAAAATTTCCGAGCATTAGTTCGGAAATATTTTGGACTTTTTAGAACAAGCATTATGTAAATTCAGATATAACTAACATGCTAAAGAGCAAGCTCAGTAAATGAGCTTTGCTACACTTTGAAAAAGCAAATTTGGTGTCCCTGTAATAGGTTAATTAATGAAGTGCTGACACGTTTTTTTATGCTCAGTGAAATGTTATTCATTGAGCTTCTCATTTTTTCATATGTAGGTACACCATTTAGATGAGAGTAGGTAACTATAACAATTTTTTCTCTCTGTAAAACCCAAAATATTTATGAGACAATTATTTGAAGTGAAGAATCTGGTGCAGACTTTCAGGAAGTCAGGGGCAAGGAGGGAGCACTCAGTTTTTGCTCCTCTCTTTTGGGTTATTTTCCCTCACTAGCCGACATACCAAATACACACCCTGTTTTCTTCCAGCTGATTTGCAACACTGGTTTCTATCTTACCGAAATAATTAGGGAGTGTTTAAAATCTCTCCTGCAACCGATGTTTGTTTAGCTATCCTTATAGATTTACAAAAGTTCTTAGCTAAATTATGATTTATAAATTATTAGTTTTAATCTCAAAACCAAGCTAAATTATTTTATTTTAATCTGCTTATTTAACAAATCAACATTGTAAAACCCTCACCTTACATGTGTGAAGGCAAATTTTTAAAGGATAGAGTACAATGTGAATTTCGAGTAGCTTTTTAAAAATTAACAACCTTTCTCAAATGAATCTCATACTAGGTATTAATCTACTTATGTTCCTCTACTCATAAAGACACTGCATATCTGTAACGAGTACTATGAATCCCCATTTTTTTTAACTTTGATTTTTTCCCCCCCTTTGGCAGTGACAGTATTTTTAAACTCATTGACACCCAAATTCTATGTGGCACTTACGGGAACATCTTCTTTGATATCAGGACTAATATTTGTAAGTAGTTTCCATTTCCTTCATGCTTTTGTATTTATCTAAGGATCAAATCTCTTTATATGGTTACAATAACTATAAATATTTATGGATCAACATGCTCAAAATGTGTTCAGCATTTGGAAAGCCACTGCCTCTGCTCTCCACTTTTAGAGGTTGACTGTGCATAAAAGACTGGGAAGTGGGTTGTTAACTAAATGCCTGCAGGGCCCAGCTTGGTGCTCCCAGATGAAAATGTGTGACATGGGCAGAGATTAAAAATTAGAATTCCTTGTTTACTTGGAAGACTGGGTGAACCGGACAGTGCATGCTTCTTCTAGAAGGGGCTGCAGCTGATTGTTGTCACATAGACTTGCAGACCATTATTACCAGATCTTCCAATTTTTCAGATGATTCTAAGAGAACATGGATACACAGTGTTTGTATAAAATCTAATAATACTTCAATCTTGGCAACATGGGACAAACTAAAAATTTATCTCTGTCTTGAATTCAGCCTGTAGGCTGCCAGTTATCTTCCCTGGAGTGGTTAAGAGCGGGAATTTGGTGTCAGGTTAACCGTCCCTTTAGGGGTGTGACTTTGAACAAGTTAATTTTCTATGTCCCAGTTTTCTCAAATGTAAACTGGGGGGCGGGTACATTAGTAGTCTCTACTTCATAGGATTATGAAGACTAAATGAGATACGGTATGTAAAAGCTTTTAACAGCCTAGTACTAACAGTGAACACAATGAATTTTGGCTATTAATTCAGCTTCTCATTGTCTTGTTTGACCAAGCTAGCATTTTTAATTAAAAAATGTTTTAGAATTTTATAATCTTTATTAACATCCCTAGGTACTAGTGTTTCCTTGAATAAACTTTGGAAAAATACTGCTACCCATGAAAATCTTAGGAAGTATGGCATGCATGGCCAATGACTTCTTCTCTACTTTTCTCTCATCTCTAGATGGTGCTCTCCAGCTGTAGTAGAAATAACAGCATCTGTGTTGGAGTGTTTTGGGTTTTTTTTTTTTTACAAGGACTAAGACTTGACCGTTTTGTTAGAGTGAAATGCCGGACAAGAAAGAGATTTTTCTCTTGACTTAAAAAAAAAAATTATTGAGGAATTCGGGATGAAAAGTATGGATTAATATAAGCCTCAAAATTTATTGAATTATAAAGCCCACTCATAATTAAACATACTTTATCATATTTAGTCAATAGCATATGAGTCCAAATAAAGAAAATAAACTCTCTTTAAATTGCTGATGTAGAAAATGCATTGGTCTTAAAACCAGAAGATGTGGTTTTAAGTCTTGACTCTGCCACTTACTGGCTGATGCTTTGGGCAAGTCACAGCTATGAGTCTTAATTTCCTCATTTATAAGAAGGGGAAATTTTACATATATATTATCTTCTTAAACCAAAGCTTTAAAATTAGGAAATTGAAGTAAAATTTTAAAGGTTAAATGATATTACTACTCTTGTAATACTGATGGGTTTTCATCAGGGAAGGTTATTATTGTTTATAAGTTGTTGTATCACCGGGGCATACCAAACTTGTACACACACACACACACACACACACACATACACACATACACACATACACTGAGGTAAGTTGGGGAGGCAGGCTGTGTAGCTCTTAGGCACTCTTGGATTTGGGGGAATACCATGGTAAGCAGACAAACACAGATTCGGTTCTCATGAAATATGGCCTAGAAGGTGATTGTGGAGATTGCCTCATTCACCTGACAATATGTTATTGAATACCTGCCTACTGGGTGCCACACTTTCTGAGCACTGGGCTAGCAGAACTGAACCAACCAGAAGAAAGTCCCTGTCCTCTTGGAGCTTACGTTATATTAGAGCAATACACAGTAGCAGATAAATAAGTAAAACACATAGTATGTTTTTACTGTTAGTGATATGTGCTAAAGGGAAAAATGAGTCAGAAAAAGGCATGTGAAGTGTAGAGGAAAAGGTGGCAATTTCAGACAGGGAAGTTAGGGAAGGCTTCACCGAAACAGTGATTCTGTAGTAGAGATCTGAAGCACATGAGGAAGCCAGCCGTGTGGTTTTGTTACTTCTTCCTGAAGGGTTAGTATGCTTGGGAGCTTGAAGAATAGCAACGAGATCAGTTGTTCTACTAATTATTACAGGGAAAAGATGCCTCTGAAAGGAAAGCACAGATCCAATGTGAGTACAGCTTTCCGTTCCATGGAATCAGGAAGTTTCCCAAATGTGTGTCATTGAAGCTGTGACCCAGAGGAGCCAGGCAAAAGGCAGTTGAGAAGGTTGGAGTGTCCAAACATGATGCATTCTGCTAACTTAGCACAGAGAGCTAGCTTCTTTTTGTAACAGTGGTAAACCATGGAAACAGAAAGAAATGAATATTCTGATTTTTAAATGGTTCAAAATGGGTTTTAAATGGTTCAAAATGGCTCAAAATGTAGTTCTGACTCTTAATCTACATTAATAATACTGCCAAATACTAGAACAGTAACTTCTTGCTCAAAAGGCACTTATCATTCTTGTATAACCATGTTTAATAGATAGGATGTTGAGGCTCTGAGAGGCTGGAGTTTAAGCGACTTGCCCAAAGCACACAGCTAATAGCCAAATCAGGATTCAAACGTTAGTCTCACCCTAGTTTAATCCGCCGCCTGGGGTTAGTTGTTTCCAACTTGTTTTTCTCTTTAACTATGCTATAGAGATAGAATAAAATGACAGTGTAATATAACAGAGTTAGATTACTTACAGATGAAACCTTTTTATTGTTTTTAATGCTTTATTTACAGATGTATTCCTTCTAATTTTAACTAAGCTTTTCTAAATTTTATGACAAAGTATGAAAAAGGCATTTCACTTTTGTTTGGCATGTGTTATTGGGGAATCTTGTGTTTGGCTTATTTGTTTTGGAAGGAGAGCACACTTAAAATGCTGACTCAAAACAGGAACATCTTGAGATAATGTTTTAATTTGAGCTCACATATCTGCTGATCAGTCCTATATTAAGTAAAGGGTGTTTTCTCTTTGTTGTAGATGTTCGAATGGTGGTACTTCCATAAACATGGCACGTCTTTTATGGAGCAAGTGTCTGTGAACCATTTGCGACCACTGATGGGAGGAACAGGAAACAGCATTTCAGAGCCAAGTTCTCCTTCCAGTAACAGAGAAAGTGAAACCAGCAGACAGAATCTGTCAGGTGACCGCTTATCTAATGTGTTTGCAGAGCTGTGTAGTTAAGATTGTGTTTGGCTGTGGGAGGTGGAAAACTCACAACCACAGAGAGAAGTTGGTCTTTGATGTAAACATAGGTAATCCACAGCTTGTACTGGAGAGCAATGGTCATCAGAAGCCCAGACTCTTGTTTTGTTAGCCTGCCACCTCCAAATGCAGTTTTGCCTTGTGGTCCAAGATTCTGGCTTCAGCTCTCATAGCAACATTCCAATCAGCAGGATGGAGAATAGGCTGGGAGAAGTACACCCTTTCCCCTGCCTCACCACACAGCAGCCAAGGACACTTCCCGAAAGTGTTACATACTGTCTCAGCCTACTTCTGACTCATCAGACCTTTGTCCAATGGCCACAGCTGTAAAGGAAGCTAGAAATTGTCATTATTTTCTCAGTGTACATATGCCCAGGTAATATTGAAAAATTAGGGGACTTTATTAGATAAAGGAGAGAGTAGAGACAATTAGCCATCTCTGGCAAGAGAACAAAGTTAGGAGAACTTTGTTTTCTTTTATCCTCAATGCCTTTTATTCTCATTGTACTTACAAAGACATCAAAATTATAGTTATTCAGGTATGGATGTTCCTTTGTCATGCTTTAATTATATATTTTTCTCTATATGTATCTAGTAATACAAAATAACTGTTAATGATATACATTTAGGAAAGTAAAATTTTCAAAGCCAAATAGTAATTTTTTTGAATTATTCATTTCATTTGGTGTAGATAATAATCATACAAATGAGTACTTCCATAGATTGCCATAAGGTCTCATTTGTTCAGTAAACTTAACCACTAGGCTTATGTTTGTTTAGTGGAAGAATACTGCCTGAGTGCAGTTGCTGGCATTTTTAAATGTGGTCAGAGAAAGTCTCTGAAAAAGCACCATCTAAGCTGAGTCCTGGAGCATGAGTGGATGCTGACCAGGAATCCTAGGGGTGGGGTGGCAGCCACTTGGGTACAAGAAGGAGAAATGGTCATTTCCTTTCCCCTTCTCCTTTCTCCTCTTTCATAAAACAATTATAGAACTCCTAACAATGAAACATATTACTATGGATATGATATAGATCTGTCCTCAAGATGCTCAGAGTCCAGTGTGTAAATAATTACATAACAATGGTGCATTATATAACCTTATTCCCTATTGTGAGTTTGAACACATCATTTCATAATGGGAGTGACGATAACCTTAAGAACATTCTGGTTTGGTAGAAGATACAGACATATAAATAAGGATAGCAAAAGATATAAAAAGATATGTAAATAATATACTTAAAAGATACTTCATGATAATCTGCTCAGGCTGCCATGACAAAATGCCATAGACGGGGTGGCTTAAACAGTAGAAACTTGTTTTCACATAGTCCCAGGTCTGAAATCAGACCTCCAACAAGGTCGGGTTTGGTGCGAGCCCTGTGGTAACAGAAAAGAGGGTGTAGTTAGTGATTCTTGGAAGGAGGGCCATAAGAATTGTGTAGTTCTGTATCTTGTTCTGTAGTATTTTCTTCCACAGATGTATACAGTGGGGGAACCAGTTTTGAATTTATACCCCCAAGTTCTAGATCCACATTTCTCTTTGCTAGAAATCTCTACCTTTGATGGCTCTAAGCTCCTAAACTCACTCTTTCCAAAATGAAACTGTCTTCTTTCAGTAGGATTCTTAACAATCCTAAAAGCTGTTAATGGTACCCAATTCCCATACTAGAATCATTTGGGTTGTTTCAGATTATATCTCTCTTATTTCCCCCTTTTTCTCCAAACAGTTAATACCCATCATATTCTATTGATTCCCATCAAAAATTATTTTGACTCCATCCTACCTTTTTTATTCTAACATTTGTTGCCCCATGTCTGGGCTCCTAATATCGCTTTTCCCGACTTGCTGTAGTATCCTGACTGGTTCCTCAGCCTCTGATGCTTCTTCTTTTTGTACATCCTTTCCTCTTAGTATGTAAGAAAGGGGTGCTCAAACTTTCTGGATTCGGGCATCCTTTATACTCTTAAAATGATGAGGACCTCAAAGAGTTTTCGTTTACTTACACTGATTATTGTATTAGAAATGAAGACAAATTAAAAATATTTATTATTTTAAAGTAACAGTAAACCCATTACATGTTAACACTTTTACAGAATGAACCGTATCCCCCCAAATTCATGCGTTAAAGCTATAATCTCTCCTGTAACTGTATTGGAGATAGGATTTTCAGGAGGTAATTAGGTTAAATGAAGCAGGATGGGGTCCTACTCTCATAGGACTGGTAGCCTTAGAAGAAGAGGAAGAGAGAGAGATCAGTTTCTCTCTCCACCATGTGAGGGGCCATGTCAGGGACAGAGGAGAACGCAGCCATCTGCAAGTCCAAGAGAGCTCGTGCCAAACCTGACCTTGTTGGAGCCTTGATTTCAGACCCGGGACTATGTGAAAACAAGTTTCTACTGTTTAAGCCACCCCGTCTATGGCATTTTGTCATGGCAGCCTGAGCAGATTATCATGAAGACTACTATCGTTTTACATTTATTTAAATCTCTTCATGACCTGGCTGTCGTGGCTCAGTAGATTGAGCATTCATGGACTGTGAAGCAAAGGGTTGCCAGTTCAATTCCCAGTCTAGGGCACATGCCTGGGTTGCGGGTCAGGTCCCCAGTGGGAGTCATATGAGAAGCAACCACACATTGATGTTTCTCTCCCTATCTTTCTCCTTCCCTTCCACTCTCTAAAACAAATCTTAAAAAAAAAATTATAAGTAAATAAATAAATCTCTTCAATGTCTAGTTTAATAGAAGGCACCTTATTCTCATATCTGCTTCTATATTGTTGGGATCTGTTGTTTCGGTCAAAGTGTATAAACAAAATCTGGTCTCACACAGATATATGGTTTGAAAAGGGTGGACTATTTTAATAACCTTTTTAGAAAATTGTGGGTATTCTTTTTTTGATACTATACCAAAATGTACCGAGAGGCGCTTTCCTAAAGTTTAGTTGCAGTGTGGAGTGGTCGAGTGGTTTTAGATGCTTGTTTGCCCGGAGTATCCGGCAGCCTTCTGCGCATCCAAGGTGGCTGGTGATTCAGCGTCAGTTCAGGCACCACCTTCCTTCTGAAACCCTTCTCTCCCTAATCCCCAGAGCAAAACTAATCACTTCGTGTTTCTCTCTTGGAACAAACTGTATCTCTCCTATAGCACTTATCATACAGTTTTGGTGGTAGTTTACATGACTCCCATGCTACGTTTAATTCTTTTAAAAAGTATTCTCAAATGCTGTGCTAGGCTCCAGGAATATGTACAGAAATGAACAAAATTTTAAGAGTTCATATTTAAAAGGGAGAAACTTAAAACACATAATCACATTATGATATGGTAAGTGCTGTCATTGAATTGTGAGCCAAATGCTGTGAGGACAGAAATAAGGGCATTACTAGATTTAATTGTGTGCTTTGTGAAGGCGGGGCTTTATTTGTCTTGGTGCTATATCAGTGGCTAGCTCTGTACTTAGCATACAGTGACTATATGATAAATGGTGAGTTAAGATTTAATTGCATTTGCTTAAACTGTCTTATTTCCTCCCTTTTCTCCTTTGTTTTTTAGAATGCAAGGTATGGAGAAACCCTCTAAACCTTTTCAGAGGAGCAGAATATAGGAGGTATTACATTTTGCTTTCTGTATAATTATGGCATTGGTTTTAGAGTAAAAGTATTATGAAAACACTTGTTTTTATCAATATATCACAGCTCTCCTATTTGGAAATACTGATACAAGATAAGGTAAAGTGATTAGCCCAAAGTTTATTTGACAGCATCTTGACTGCATTTACTTTTATGATCATGAGAAACATTGCTTCAAACCATACATTTGTCATACATAACAAGCATACATTTGGCCCCTGGTTTGAAAAGTCAGAAAGCCTTTTCAAAGAATTTATGAGATTAAGACAAAATTTCAAGTGTCAGTATGTTCTGATGCATATGTGCTCGATTTCAAAATGTATTTGAGGATTCACTAGAAAATACCAATCTGAATGTGAATGTGAACGTGAACTTCATTTATGCAACAGTACAGAGTTTAGTATTTTTATATTATATTTTATATTGCCATTTTCTATCTACTCTACTGTGTCCTTTTCTCTCCTGGTTTTTACACTAAATGAGAAAACATCTTTTGAAATTTATGACCAGAGACACTTTATGTTTTACCCGGAGGTAGACTGGGCATGTTATTTAATTCATCGAACAAGAAACATCATGTGTCTGCTGTATAGGGGCGCTGTGTAAAATGATGGGGATGCTAAATGATTAAGCAGTCATCTGTGCTTAAGGACATGATGGTGTAAGACAGTCAGTCCTGGGACATGAAAACTAGGCTTTTGTGAGAGATGCCATTAGCCTGTAGTAAGGATTTCTGCAAGAGACAGGTCCCTGAATTTCTCACTGTGTTCGTTACAAAGGTTTTAGGCTTTTTATTGTCATATTATATGCATCTACTTCATGAAGACTTTAAAGAGAAGTTTCAGTATCTGCAGCACTGAGGCTTCTTTCGAGTGACTGGTCTCTGTAGAAGTCTGGTTTCACAGTGGTCGCTGTCACAGTCTGAGCTGTAGTGGTAACAACTGTGTAGTTGTTCCCAGAGAGCCAGGAGTCGCCGCATGGCAGTCACATGTTAGCCTCACCCCAGACCCCACTGCATGGCCCAGTCCTTGTTTGTGCTTTACGGAGTCTTTCTTAATTTACTTCTAGTCTATATTATTGATGCTGCATATTATATTTTAACTGTTTTAAGTAACTTTGGGAATATATAGATTGTTAATAAATAATTGTTATGGTTTTAGAATGTGTAGCAAAACTGCTAAGTGAACAAGGATTGCTTTCTTTTTTCTTTATGATAGTTTCTCACAAAATAGTTAAAAACTTTAAATAGCTAGGCAACTCATACTATTAAAGAAGTTAGTATCTTTAGTCACATATAAATAATACAATGGGCTTTTAAAGTCATTTTTTTAGATTGTAAAATGTATGCATATTCATCATAGAAAATGGGAAAATAAAGAGATTATGAAAAAGAAAGTAAAAAAAATCACCTCTTCTTACCACTAAGTAACAACTGCTCTTCGTATTTCCATGTACATATGCATATATAGAAACAAAACTCGAACATCAAAATATGTGGATTTCTCACAGAATTTCTTCAAAACATAAGTTTATTTAAAAACATGATTTTCAGCAGTTATATTTATGATATGCTTCCCTATCTGGGTCACAGATTGTATTTTACTGTTAACATTTACACTAGAGTGATATCTTTATGTAAAAATATTTAGCCACATAAATGATTGTTTCCTTAGGTTTGATTTGTTGCACTGGTATTACCGAAACGAGGGGTGTGGATATTTTTTCCCCTTCCCTTTCATCTTGTCCTTGGTTATGGAAAATGTGAAAAGTAATAGTAGAGAGAATGGTATAATATAATATCATGCACCCTTCCTCTAGCTAAGTGTGAATATTTTTCAGACTTTTATTAAAAAATATTTTATTTATTTACTTTTAGAAAGAGGGGGAGGAAGGGAGAATGAGAGGGAGAGAAACATCAATGTGTGAGAGATACATTGATCTGTTGCCTCTGGCAAACCCCCAACCAGGGACCTGGCCTGCAACCCAGGCATGTGCCCTGACTGGGAATGGAACTGGATCATCCATCACCTTTTGGTTCATAGGCTGGTGCTCAATCCACTGAGCCACACCAGCCAGGGAAAAGACTCTTGGTAGATATTATCTGATTGGATCTTGGAACCAAAAATGTAAATGTTAACTTACATTTATACTAGCAGTATGTGTAAGTCCATATTCCACCTGACAATGTACATATATTTGCCAATTTGATAGATGAAAAGTAAAAATTTATTTTAATTTGCTATTTATTAATTACTAATGAGATTACATGTTTAAAAATGTATTAATTAGCGAATTTGGTTACTTGCCATTATTATTGTGGGTCTTGGGGAAACGAAAGTTTAAATTTCTAATTTGGTAGCATCTATAAAAAGTTCCTATTCACTTTTTTGTTTTGAAAGCCTTTTACCAACTTGACATCTAGTAAAAGTCTACCCATGTTTTCTCCTTTCTTTGTAGTTTTACTTTTTATACTTAATTCTAAGTCACTAAGAGTTTATTGAAGTATATTTAATGAGACATATATCTAAGCCAAATCATTTTATCTCTTCAAGTCCAATTTTGAAGAAGTGTTTGTTGAATAGTCTAGCATTTTTCTTTTTTAGTTTTTGTGTTTTATTATACTCTAAGTAGTTGGTATAGGTTATCTCTTTTGTTTTTCTGATTATAACAAGCTTTAAAAAACATCTTGAAATAGAATTTTTAGCAGTGTATTTTTGAAGTTTAAAGTATCTGTTGTAGCAAGTCGATGCTCTCTCATGTTCAATTTACATATTTTCTTGTGTTTTGGCAAAGATACACTTGGGTGACTGGTAAAGAGCCTCTTACATACTATGACATGAATTTGTCAGCTCAGGACCATCAGACCTTTTTCACCTGTGACACTGACTTTTTACGTCCTTCAGACACAGGTACGTGTCATCTCTGACCATGGGGTAGACATGGAATTGTTTGATAAGAAACCCAGATTGAATGGAAACTAATTATGATCTTGAACTAGGCTGTTATACTACCTTTCCTTCTTACAAAGAATTTCACGTGTTTTATTAAAATTTTGCTTTTATTATTACTTTAAAAAATCTTTCAGATCAAATATAGCAACTGCTTATACAGAGAAAAATGTACCCAGTTTTGATATGAGAAATTAACACCTGCAAAAAGAAAAAAGAGTAAGACAAAGTGTAAACACAGGGACAGGCATGTAGAGAAAAACAGGACATAATTTTATTCTAATCGTAAGTTAGAGAAGCATCTAAAGTGGTGGAAGACCATAGAAATGTCTGTTTAATTCTCTGTAAGCTCTTTTCTCAGAAAGAGTATTGAGACTCTTAAATGGAACGACTTAAAGGCAGACTTCTTTATCACAACTAGCCTTCTACTTTGAATTCCTTCTTTCATATCTATCCTTCTGTTTCTGTCCTTCAGGATCCAAATTAAAAGTTGCATTCTCTAGCAAGCCTTCTCTGGGATCTCCTTTCTTCTCTGCTGTTCTACAGTACTTAGTACAAACCTCAGTGAAACAATTTTCAACCACAAACACTTGTTTATTATAATGTTATCATGTTGCTTTAATGTTTCTCCTCCTGAACAGGGTGTGAAACTTTGGAAAGCAGGTACTATATTCTCATCATCTTTGAATCCCTATCTTGTAGCACAGTGCCTGCATTCTGTAATTATTAATATTTATTGCCCGATCAAAGTATGAATGAATGAGTGGTGTTGGTGTCACAGATGTCTTCAGCAATTTCACTAAGAAGAGTTAACACTTGTAGAGCACTTATTATGTACAAGCACTTTTCTAAGCAATTTATATACATGTACTAATTTTATCTTCCCAATCACTTTATGAGGTAGGTACTATTATTAGCCTGATTTTAAAAATAGAGAAACACAGGCAAAGGGGAATCAAGTAACATGCCTAAGTCGTCTAGCTATTAAATGATAACGCTGGGTTTCAAACTCAAGTCTGGCTCTTAACCACTACATTATTACCACATTGCCATGGTTACTCACTACATCAGTAGGCAGAAGACAATCGCCAATAATAAGCATCTGAAAAATAGCCAGTTTTCCAGCATTCAAGTGAGTTCATTGTGATATCTCATTGCTGGATTAAATATACTAAGGGTTGGTGGTAGCAAGAACCCCAAGGATGTTTGGTATGGTTACATTAAATGATTTAATTGTAAATAGGAGAAAAAATGAATTGCTTTATATGCTTAATGTTTACATTAATGGTGTTTACAGCACCTGTATAGGTATTGGGGAAATAGCAGTGGAAAATCAGTTTTGTGTGTTAACTTTAAGGACCAAAGTGACTCTGGAAATTGAGACTTCACCTCCTTCTCCCAGGCCAAATCGCAGATACTGGGGGCTTTTAGATAGTAACCATGGCTATCCACTAAAGCTGTGGTCTTAAAACATTTGTGTTCATATACCTTTTAAGAGAAGTTTGAAAGACTATGTATCCCTTCATGTATTTTTAAGTTGATATCATAAGGTTAAGTAATTGCAAAGAATATGGTTTTTGATATATTATAAATATAGACATTTAAAAATAAAGCTAGGCCATGGCCTATGTGGCTTAGTTGGTTGGAGTATCATCCTGCAAAACAAAAGCTCACATGTTTGATTCCCAGTCAGGGCACACGTCTGGGTTGCAAGTTTGGTCCCTGGTCGGGGCTTGTACAGGAGGCAACCGATTGATGTTTCTCTCTCACATCCTTGTTTCTCTCTCTCCCTCTTCCTTCCCCTCTCTCTAAAAAATGAACAAGTGTATCCTTGGGTGATTAGTTAATTAATTTATTTTTAAAAACCTAGAATACTGTATTTTTAATTGTATCTCAAGAAATATAATGACTTAACACATACCATTATCCATGGAAGAATACATGAACAGATACTCTTCAACAGTGGTAAATTTTATATGTTCTTTTTATTCTGGAATTTATATCCATCCCATACTTCAGATGATTTTGTTATAATTTTATGTTTGAGAGTCTTATCACATGTATGTGCTTTGCCACAATAAAACTTTTTGTATGAATTTTTAGAAATTTTAATTTCCTTTGACCATGACATTCTAGATGGTATCATGTACTTGAATTATATTTTTGTCAAATCTTTTGAGCTACATATTTGGTTCTTTCAACTTTGGAAAATGTCCTCCAGACAACCTCATTGGCTGGGTGAGTTCTCATGGTCAGTCCTATTAACCAAGTCAGACTTACTTTCTTTCCAACAAAGTCTGACTTTGTTTTTCAGTTCATGTGAACATGCCTCCCATGACAGCTGCCTCTCTTCTGAATTTAATTATAAAATAGAAAGATATTCTTGTAGTTTTGCCTAGAGGTTATCTCTTAGCTAAAATAAAATTTCAAAAAAGGGCTTCTGCTGTGAGTGGAATCTTCAGGGCAATGTGATTGCTCTACATGCAAAATCGACGCCAAGAGGTTTCAGAAGTGTAATTTTTTGGTGCCTGGGCAGCTAGTGATCATTGGTCCTGGCACCTGCCAAAGAAAAAAAAAGATTCCACTGCCTTTATTATTTTTCACTAATGTCCTTTTTGCCTTACTGAGAGGGGACATTCCTGTATGAGCAATGCATTCTTTGATGGTAAGGACAGAAGGGTGTTGATAAATGGGAATGCTAAGAATTATCACTCCTTCCCCACTCTACAGTAAACCTGAATTTAGTGCATCCAAGGGCCAGAGTGTTCTAATTCCAAAGCTGAACATCACGGTTAGAAGAAATAAGTGAAAGGTGGAATCCCTGTTATAGTTTCCTTCATTAAAAATGGCAGTTCTCGCCCTGGCTGGTGTAGCTCAGTGGATTGAGTGTGGGCCTGCAATCAAACAACTGCGGTTCAATTCCCAGTCAGGGCACATGCCTGGGTTGCATGCCAGTTCCCAGCAGGGGACGCATGAGAAGCAACCATACATTGATATTTCTCTCCCTCTCTCCTTCCCTTCCCCTCTAAAGACAAATAAATAAAATCTTAAAAAAAAATAAAGGGATCTTATTTATAAAGAAAAAAATGGCAGTTCTCAAACTTGAACTTTGAATTGTCCCTTTGGCACCTGGAGATTTTTTATTTTTTACTCTGTAGAGCAGTGTACCTTGGAAAGATTCAGGGTAAGTGAGAAGTAAGTCTTCCTTTTGTAAAGTAGGAGAAAGGATTATATCTTTTGGGATATGGGAGAGCAGGTGTTGGAAAGAATGGAAAACCTGCGTGATGCATAGACCAATCAGAGAAACATTCTTCTGGTAGATCAGTTATAGGAAAGAGCCATATAAAATTGAGGCTTTAGAAATTTATTCTTTTAAAACCATGCATCCCATTTTGGTCCTTGCAAAGGTTCATGTACACAAAATCCCAGCTAAAGACTGAACTCAAGGACATAGTTTCTCTGGGAATGATAATTCAGAAGTGGGCTGTTGGTTCCGTATTGATCTTTTCAGACATTCACATAAAAGTAATGATTTATAGCTGTAGATTTAGATTCAGAAAAGACAAATGTGTGTATCTGTGTGATGTGACAAATTTCTTTTAACTATTGTCATCAGGAATCACTATATTAGTAGATTTTGTGTTAGTGTCTTTTCTGCTTGTTAGCATGTTGAATATTATTTAACTTGAAAAATAAATAAATTTGGTTGAATTGCTAGCTGCTTGTGTTATTTTTTAAGCATATCAAGAGCTTTTAAAGACAGTTGAATATCAAATCAGCATTTGCTTTAAGTTATTTCTACACCTTTTTTTAGAAGGAAATATGTATTTTCTTCCTTTACTTCATTTCCCCTTTGACTTAGAGCTGCATTGGTTATGAGAAATAATGTTGAAAGACTGCATAGAGCAGTTGAAAATAAAAAAAATGAGAGAAAAATGCTTAAAGGTAGATTCAAAGACCTTACTAAAAATAAAGAAATGTAAATGCAAATGAAATAGTTTCTATGTATTAGCGAAGACTGATATTATTCAGTGTTGGTAAGGAAGTAGGGAAACTGTCACTCTCCTACACTGCCTGAAATTAAGTAAATTAACGCAATTTTATTGAGAGGAATTTTGGAGTACACATTCAAAATCATTTAAAAGATGCGTACATTTTAAACAACATTCTACTTCTTGGTCAGGTATACAAAGATAGATGTCAAATTGTGCTTTTCACAATATTTCTATTTAGCAAAAAATTGGTGTAACTTAATTGTTTATCAAAAGACAATGGGTTAAATAAATTATAGTATATCCTTAATATACTGGAATACCAAACCATTTAAAATGTTGGTAAAGATTCAGTGTCAAAATTTGACTTGTGAATATCATGTAACTTATAGAAGAGAGCCCATCATCAAGAATGGCATCTAATGTTATATGTAATTTTATGTTATATTTTAGTGTTTCAGCAAAATGCTATTCTTTACCTGGTTCTTATCACATGGGTGCTGATGTATATCAGTTCGTCAAGTTCAGGAAGCATTAGCTGTCAGCCAACTGGTGACATGTTTGATATAAGAAATGTATTTTTGTTATACAAATAGAATATATTGTCTCATTTTCTAAGCCAAGACTAGTATTTTGTTTCCAAAGGAAAACTCAAACATTTTCCACATTATTCTTTCTGGACAGTTGTAGGTTTTGTTTCAAAGGCAACATTTATAGATTCTCTATTTTTCTTATCAAACTTGAAATAGGCCAGATAGTTGCAAGAATCTACATTATTTAATTTTTAAGAAATTTTACTTAGTGTGAAATTTTGTTTGGTACTGTAAAAGGTAGCAAAACAAATATTGTTATTTTAGATTCTAATTCAGGCTTTTTTTGACTCTTGGTAGAGACTGGCCTTTTTCATAAATGTACTATATTCTAAATTCCCCATTTTGCCTTTAATACAAAATATAAATTCAAACATTCTTCCTGGACTGAATCATTGCTTAGGCAAGTCTTTGTTTTTAAGTGTGTTATATATTTCTAGCAGTTCCAAAGAACCTTTTCAAAAATTATAAAGAACTAGAATTTCATATCGATTATAATCTGATGTCACTCAAACTCAATTTTAATATGAATTTAGATGTGTAAATATTCATGTTTAATAATGTAATTAATTTGATTAAGTACTTTATACATTTTAAATTTTTGTTTGTTTGTTTGTTTATTTTTAGGCAGAGGGGAAGGGAGGGGGAAAGAGAAGGAGAGAAACATCAGTGTGTGGTTGCCTTTCACACGTCCCCTACTGGGGACCTGGCCCACAACTCAGGCATGTGCCCTGACTGGGAATCAAACCAGTGACCCTTTGGTTTGCAGGCCTGCGCTCAATCCATTGAGCCATAGCAGCCAGGGTCTTGTGCACTGTTATTTAAATAGAAAAGAAAAACAATATATTTTTATTACATGTGATGTTTCTGAATTTAATGTACATTTCTCCTAAGGTTAATGTGAACTAGCACCCCAATTTCTTGTTTCTTACATTTAGGTACATGTTATTTAAGTCGTCGTTTGCTCTCCTAGCTCATTCTTCATATGTTTTGCATAAGGTTATTTATGTTTACCATCTCATCTACTTTTTGAAATATTTTTCCTACAGTTATGCAGAAGGCATGGAGGGAAAGAAATCCTCCAGCTCGAATCAAAGCAGCCTATCAAGCTTTAGAATTAAACAATGAGTAAGTTTGAAATATATGGAAAATAAGTTTGTTTTGAAGGAAACCCAGGCAAATGACTTAATGTTTTCTTTTGTCCATTCTTAAGACGCTTGGAGTCATTAGCAGTCTCCTTTCTCTTTTTGCATACTGGAGACCGCATTTGCAGTATTCACTGACATATATATTTGCTTCTGAAATTGTCAATTGATCTGTGTTTTTAAATAGAAATTATGCTAGATATACTTTTTAAAATGGAGAGGGCTGATCTAATTGGTGATAATTCTTGACAGTTAAAAAGTACTAAAATTCTATGTCACCTGTTTTATTTTTGTTTTTCATTTAAATCATTCATTTAAAGCATTCATTCAGCCCTGAGAATTTCAGTTGTTAATGGGATTAGAGGCATGAGTTGGAGATTCAAAATAATAAAATGTAGTTCTAACTAATTTTTTCATGTTAACAGGATTTTTATAGTTCTTTGTATTAACTTTATGTTTTAAGTCAACTTAATATTTAAATGGAACAGATCAGTAAGTATTAATCTAATACTAAATAAATGCCAAAAGTAAAAATATGGCCCTAATTGGAATTGAGGTATGCTTCCTGAATAATGTGAATTTAGCATCATCCCCTATATACCTCCTTCTTCTCTCTTCTCCCAGATATAGTATCCTTATTAAGAAGACCTTCCCAAGGTGGAACAAAAAATGGCAGTGTCCGGAATTCCAAAGCAGTAAATCAACTTTATTGAAACTCTGGAAACTAATAAAAAGTTTATAACAACCTAAAATATCTGGTAGCTCAAGGGACTTGCCTTTAAGTTAAACCCTGACTCTCCCAGCACTGACACAGCAACACTGAGGGGCAATTGTTAAAACATTTAAAGACAAATGCTTCTGCCTGGGGCAAGGGATAAAAGTCAGGGCAAACAATAAACAAATCAGAAAGCTTTGGAGGAAAGGCTTTGGAATGAGATACTTTGGGAAATAAAGGTTTCAAAAAGCTCCCACACGTGCCTGGAAATCTCAAAGTTTACATTTACTTTTAGAGAGGGAAAGAGAGGGAGAGAAACACTAGTGGGTGGTTGCTTCTTGTGCGCCCCCTACTGAGGACCCGGCCTGCAACCCAGGCATGTGCTCTGACTGGGTGGGAATCGAACTGGCAACTGTTTCGTTCACAGGCTGGCACTCAATCCACTGAGCCACACCAGCTAGGGCTGCAATTCTTTTTTTCCTATGATTTAAAAGACAGCTATGTAAACCATAATTATAAGTCTATGTTGATGAACATAGAGTTTATAAAAACGTAACCTATGACCATAACAACATAAAGGGTGAGGGAAGAGCTATATGGGAGCAAAGTTTTATATAATATTAAAATTAAATTGGTATTAAACTAGATGTTCTAATTATTAACCATTAAGAAATAACTAAAAACATATGGTTAAAGAAATAAGGGAATCAAAATGGTGTACTAGAAAATATCTAACACACACAAAAAAAGGCAGTAATACAGGAAATGAGGACTGGGGGAAGGACATATAGAAAATGAATAGGAAAATGGCAAAAACAAGTTCTTTCTTATTATTAATTACTTAAATGTAAACATACCCAATCTTACAAGATATAGCAAAAGCAGTGCTCAGAGGAAAATTTATAGTTGTGAACACTTCCATTAATAAAAATGAAAGTTCTCAAATCAATAATTTAACTTTATACCTTAAGGAAATAGAAAGTGAAGAGCCAACTAAACTCCAGGCAAAAGGAAGTAATAAAGATTAGAGTGAGATAAACAAAATAGAGAATAGAAAAATGATAGAGGAAATTGGTGAAACCAAAGGTTGGTTTTTTAAAAGATCAACAGAATTGACAAACTTTTAGCTAGACTTACTAATCAAAAAGAAAAGACAGAATACTAAAATCAAGAATGAAATTGTGGACATTACTACTGATCTTACAGAAATTTGAAAGATTATAGGAGAATGCTGTGAACAGTTGTATGCAAACAGATAGCTTGGATGAAATGAACAAATTCCTAGAAATGCACAAACTACCCATACTAACTCAAGAAGGACTAGAAAATATGAATAGACCTATAATGAGTGAAGAGAATGAATGAGTAATTTTAAAACTTTCAAAGAAAGAAAGCTCAGAACTAGATTACTTCACTAGTGAATTTTGTCAAACCCTTAAAGAATTAATACCAGTTCTCTCAAACTCTTCAAAGCAATAGAAGAGGACATAAATCTTCCTAACTCATTCTTTTAAAAAAAGTTTTAGAAACATTTTTTATTTTTAAATTACAGTTGACATGCAGTATTAGTTTTAGGTGTATTACCCTGTACTTAGACAATTTTATAACTTACAAAATGATTACCCTGATAAATCTCCTACCCATCTGGCACCATATATAGTTATTACAATATTATTGACTATATTCCCCATGCTGTACTTTACATTCTCGTGACTGTTCTGTAACCACCAATTTGTGCTGCTTTATCCCTTCACCTTTTTCACCCATCCCCCAAACCCACTTCCATCTGGCATCTGTCAAGATATTCTCTGTATCTATGAGTCTGTTTATGTTCTGCTTGTTCATTTATTTTGTTTTTTAGATTCCACATATAAGTGAAATCCCTAACTCATTCTATGAGGCCAGTATTACCTTCGTACCAAAACCAGACAAAGACATCATAAGAAACAAAAACTACAGACTAATATTTGTTATGAATACAGATGCAAATATCCTCAACAAAATGCTAGTACATCAAATCTAGCAGCATATTAAAAAAGATTATATACCATAAACAAGTGGGGTTTATCTCAGGAAAGTAAGGTGGTTTAACATATGAGAAATCAGTCAATGTCTGCCACCACACGAATAGAACAAAGGAAAAAACCACATGATTATCTCTTGATGCAGAAAAGAGTTTTGAAAAAATCCAACACCATTTTATGATAAAAACTAAAAAAGCACGAGGAATGGAAGGAAGTGTCTTCAAACTAATAAAAGACCTGTGAAAAACCCATAGCTAGCCCTGGCTGGTGTGGATCAGTGGATTGAGTGCTGGACTGTGAAACAAAGGATTGCCAGTTCGATTCCCAGTCAGGTTGCATAATGACATAATTTTAACATACAGACTATGTTAAAGAATCCACACACACACAGCTATTAGAGCTTTTAAATGAGCTCAACAAAGTTGCAGGCGGCAAGATCAACATATAAAATTAAGTTGTATTTCTATACACTTAGCAATGAACTATCTGAAAAGGAAATGAAAACAATTCCACTTACAATAACATCAAAAATATTAAAATACCTAAGAATAAATTTAACCAAGGAGGGTGAAAAACTTCTACACTGAAAACTACAAAGTATTGTTGAAAGAAGCTAAAGGAGATCTAAATAAGTGGAAAGACATTCCACGTTCATAGATTGGAAACGTACTATTGTTAAGATGGCAGTACTCCTCGAGTTACCAAAATTTTAATAGCTGTTTTTGCAGAAAGGACCAGCTGATCCTAAAATTCATATGGAATTGTAAGAGACCTCAAATAGTCAAAACAGTCTTGTAAAAGAAGAACAAAGAGGACTCACTTTCTGATTTCAAAATTTATTATGAAACTACATAATTAAATAATTAGAATAGACAGCTAGATTAACTTAATGATATATAATATAATAAAGACATTTCTGTTGATTAGCAAAATTATTATATATTTCAAATTGGAGTATTAGTTGGAAGATGCCAAAATGGTATGATTTGCGTTTTCTACATCTGAGAAACCTGTCTTGTCCCCAATATTTTGATTGCTATCTTGCCATTACTTTTGTTTTGTGGCCGCTTTGTTCTTTTACCAATAATTTCTCCCCTGTTGTTATGCAAACCACATATGTAACTTTAAATTTTCTGGTAGCCACATTTAAAAAGTGAAAAGAAACAGGTGAAATTAATTTGAATAATATATTTTATTTAGCTCTACTCAAAATATTAAACTATTTTAACATATATTCAACATTAAAAATAAACTGTTAATGATGTATTTTACATTCTTCTAAGTCTTCAAAATTCAGTGTGCATTTTCCACTGACCATACTCTGTCTGGCGTGCATCTCATTTTGGACTAGACACATTCCAGCTGCTCAATAACTACATGTGGCCGGTGACCACAATACTGGACAGTCTGGGCTTAGATCATCAGAACTAGGACCTTGTCTCCAGAAGAGTTATTTCTGGGAGTACAAAGGAAACTTTCTGTTTCTTTTCTTGCCCTCAAACAAGTTAGTTTATCTTATAAGCCAGCTTTTGACCTAAAGGACATGAAGAGAAATCTGTGTTGCAGTGGGGTGGCGAAAAGGAAACTTGGAGTCAGCATGGGTGTGACAAGTGAGAGTAGGCTTGTAGGAGGGGAGACTAGACGGCAGGCCAAGGGAAGTTCAGTTGCAGTTCTGTTGTGGTTAAGTCCACGAGGGGGCGGGGCATCGCGGAGAAGGAATCCGTGCAGGGGAAAGGTCTAGTGCTGCAGTATGATTCTGAGCCAAACGGTAAAGGTGCCTAGTTAGCCACGAGACTTTCTGCTTAATTGTCACCCTCTCCTATACCTCTCTATCCATGAGATAGATATTAAAAAGTACATGATGACTAAGAGCAGGCATGACCACTAGAGTGCATAGTCCTTTTGAATATTTTTCAGATAATTCATTAAGTGTGTATCTTTTCTTTCCTCTTCCACAAAAGGAAGATATGGGACAGAGGATCAGAGAATGGAAAGTAAAGAAAGGAGAATGAAGATAGGAAAGGAGAGAAATTGCAGAAACAAGACATAAAGAATATACCAATATGTCCCTAATAAATTAAAATATTGGATGAAGTTGTTTTTTATTCTCAGAGAGATGGAAAGTGTAGGGAAAGGTAGGGAAATGTGATGTAGAGCAAAGGGACATACCAATGAGAAAATAATTGCCTTGCTGTTTTACTTAAAACTGTCTTGCTTGCTTTCCTCATAGCTGTGCCACTGCTTACGTTCTACTGGCTGAGGAAGAAGCAACAACTATTGTGGATGCTGAAAGGCTGTTTAGACAGGCGCTCAAGGCAGGAGAGACTATTTACAGGCGGTCACAGCAGTGCCAGCACCAAAGTCCTCAGCATGAAGCCCAACTGAGTAAGCAAATTGGAACCAGTTTTTACCTTTCAGTCCCTGCAGTCGACTATTTTATGTTTAAAACACAAAACAATGGTAATAAACTTAATACTTAAGGTCAGCTTCTTTTCCTGAAAGATAATTAATCTATTCATAATTTCTATAGCCAACAAGACAGAAATACGTATTAGCTAGAGAATGCTTACTGAACAGATCTGCTCTGGTTGTTGAGAGATGTGCTGCTCTAAGACTTAATAGTAATTTATTTCATGTGAGAGTTGGGCTGGTCATCGGAGAAGCACAACTCAGAAAGAGCCACGAGAGCCTTCCCGTAATGATAAGTGGCTATTAACCTTCATCCTCAGCCTAACCCCAAACAATACTGGAGGGACATCATCTGGTTAGCTCTTCAGGCTGTGTGCATCTCCATGCAGTGCCAGGAGTGGCCCCTTTAGCACAAAAACCAACCTGATACTTGGCATGGATTTGTTCTTTGGTTGATTTTTCTCAGGTGTGTTTGAGATCATATGGGCCATAGTGACTGAGGTCCTTTCTTTCCACTCATAGGGATATTCTCCCAGTTATGATTCAAACACTTTTACCAAATATGTTAGAATCTGTAGTACTGCTGCTTCCTGTGATTTTTTTTGTGGCCAGAGAGTTTTAGTTTCATGATTTTGGCAGATAGTGGGCAGTAAATTGAAATATGTTTACATAATACATTATTTGCTAGCAGTTAAGTTCTAAATCTTTTATTTGTGAAAATTAAAATTTGGGTAGTTTCCTTTCTAAACTAAATATTGATGTATACAGAATGTTTCATTAATGCATGATGTTATAACACACAATTGTGGGAATATATAGTTTTGCAGCCTGGAACTAACAAAACCGCATCTGTAAAAAAGTTGTGCCATTTGTCCTTGTATAATATCAGATATGGCTATAAGATAGTTACAGAAATATTTGTTATCTTTTTCTAGAAGTACTTTTATATTTATTAGTTCTAGCTATTGAACAAAAGTTTACACTAGCCTTGGAAATTTTGCTTTGGAAATCTTTTGTCATTAAAACCATAGAAAATATTAAAATAGTAGATTGTTTATGCAGAAACTTAAAATAATAGGTTAATATGATTTCTTCCTGTTAATATATGTGTTTCTTTTATGTTAATATTAAAATGCATTTATCAAGTATACACTGATTACTTTGTATCTTCACTGTTCTCAGATTACTCATTATTAGAGATAAAAGTAATTCCATATATATATATATATAACTTTTAATATAAACAACTTCAAACATATACACAAATAGAGCAGTATAATGAATGGCCATTCAATGTTCATCACTCAGATACAACAATAATTAATACTCTATCATTCTGACACAATTTAATTTTTAAAAGATTTTATTTATTTTTAGAGAGAGGGGAAGGGTGGGAGAAAGAGAAAGAGAGAAACATCAATGTGTGGTTGCTTCTCATGCACTCCTTATTGGGAACTTGACCTACAACCCAAGCATGTGCTCTCATTGGGAATCGAACCAGCAACCCTTTGGTTTGCAGGTCAGCTCTCAGTCCACTGAGCCATACCAACCAGGGCTGACGCAATTTAATTTTAATTAAACCTTCCAGAGTAATCATAAAATTAATGGATATGTTAATAGCAAATCATAATACAAAAATGACAGCTGTGTCTTTTTTTTTAATAGGGAGAGATACTAATGTACTGGTATATATTAAAAGAAGATTGGCAATGTGTGCAAGAAAATTAGGAAGAATAAGAGAAGCAGTAAAAATAATGAGAGATGTAAGTGAATTTGATGACTGGACCTTTATAGTCTTCAAAAAACTTAAAATGGGGTTTGAGTTTCCAATTATTTTAATGTAAAATTGCTGTTTTTTAATTCCTGGTGTTCATGAAAAGATATTTATTTAACATGCATACATTTATTAAGGGTTGAGTCTCCACAGTTTTGTTAAGAAAAAAAAGAATCTCTACTTTAATAAACTTGATTCAGCTATATTGAATTTCTATATTATGATTTTAATCTCTTTTTCCTTCTAATATACAGTTGATGAAAGAATTTCCTCCTCTGACCATGTTGAACATCCATGAAAATCTACTAGAATCACTTTTAGAATTACAGGCCTATGCAGATGTTCAGGCAGTCTTAGCAAAATATGATGGTAAGTGAATTTCTCTTAGTTGATAGCATAGTTAAAGTATTTTTTTAAATTATATAGCCATAAGTGTGATCCTATTCTAGTATTTCTGTGATTTTCTCTTATCATTCTTACCAGTCAATATTTGGAATCCATGGGTACAGATGGCTGTTAAGAATCTTCTAAGGGATGCAAATTAAAACCACAATGAGATACCACCTCACATCTGTCAGAATGGCTATCATCAACAAATCAACAAGCAAAAAGTGTTAGTGAGGATGTGGAGAAAAGGGAACCCATCTGCACTGTTGGTGGGAATGCAGACTGGTGCAGCTCCTGTGGAAAACAGTATGGAGGTTTCTCAAAAAATTAAAAATCGGAATTCCTTATGACCCAGGGATTCTACTTTTGGGTATATATCAAAAGAAATCAAAATACAATTTGAAAGAATATATGCATCCCTGTGTATTCATTGCAGCATTATTTATAATAGCCAAGATATGGAAGCAACCCAAGTGCCGATCAATAGATGAGTGGATAAAAAAAAGCTGTGGTACAGACAAGTATATACAATGGACTATTACTCTACTCTAAAAAAGAATGAAATCTTCCCATTTGTGACAGTACAGATGGACCTAGATGATATTATGTTAAGGGAAGTCAGAAAAGACAAACACCATATGATTTCACTTATATGTGGAATCTAAAAAACAAAGTAAATCAACAAAATTGAAACTGACTCAGATATACAAAACAGATTGATGGTTTGTCTGAGGGGAAGAATGTTGGGGGACTGGGTGAAAAAGATGAAGGGATTAACAAGTACAAATCAGGCCCTGGCTGGTGTGGCTCAGCACTGAGTGCTGGCCTGAGAACCAAAGGTTTGCCAGTTCTATTCCCAATTAGGGCACATGACTGAGTTGTGGGCCAGGTCCCCAGTTGGGAACATGTGAGAGGCAACTGATCAATGATTCTCTCCCTCTTTTTCTTCCTCCCTTTTCCTGTCTCTAAAAATAAATAAATAAAATCTTTTTAAAAAAGTACGAATTGGTACTACTGCACAAAATGGTCATGAGGATGTAAAGTACAGCAGAGGAAATGTAGTCAATTAAATTGTAATAACTGTGTATGCTGGCAAATGGGTATTGGAAATATTGGGGGAAACACTTTGTAAAGTATGTGATTGTCTAACCACTATGCTGAAACTAATACAAAGATTTTTTAAAAAGAATCTTCTAAATCTCTTGAAAATATCTTAGTAAATGAAATAGATGGAAAAAATCAAGAACCATATGATTTTACTCATATGTGGGATATAAAACTGAAAGTAACAAATGAACAAGCAAGACAAACACAAAAATCACAGACAAGGACAATAGTATGGTGGTTGCCGGGGGAAGGGGGCTGGAGGGAGGCAGTAAAGGATAAAGAGGATCAAATACATGGTGATGGAAGGAGGTTGACGGTGATAAACACACAGTGTAACATACATATGATGTATCATAGAGTTGTACACTTGAAACCTATATGATTTTATTAGCCAGTGTCACTCCAATAAATTTAATAAATAATTTTTTAAAAGAATCTTCATTATCAGGAATTTTGGAAGCAAAAGCCTGCAAGGAGGAACTTTTCTTCTGTCAAGATTTGTTTACTGAGCGCCTGATATGAGTGAGGCACTTGGCACACAGTGTGAACAAAAGACTTGGACTTAACTCCCTTAGGATCTGCGGTTTAGTGGAGCAGACACACAGATGAATAGAAGTTGTGCTGAAGCGTGGTGCGTTGGGGGAGATAATGGGAAAAGCATGGCGTGCTGTGCACGCAGGATGGTACCTCATTTGTTCTGGAGTGTCAGGGAAGGCTAACAGAAGTTGCTTGGCAGATGTAGAAGAGTAATTCAGAATAACATTTTACAATGCTTTTGAGTTACAAAGTATAATTTATCTTGTCTGATATTTACAATAATCTTGTGAGCCGTGGGACAAGATTTTTACTATCTCCAGTTAGTAGGTAAGGAAACTGGAGTTGAAGACGATTAAGTAACTGGGTAAGGTCTTCCAGCCAGGAAGTGGCAAGCCTGAACTTAAATTCAGGTATTCCATTTCTTTGTTTACCAGTCTTTCCATAGTAAGAAGTCAATATATTGGCTATTTTTATTATTATGCTATAACAGGGCAAATTTAACACAAAGAGAGTTGGGAGAATTTTTATGAGACAGCCTTTCTCCTCATTCTGAGTGAGAGGTCAGCTATTAAATCCAAGCTAAACAGGTCCTAACCAGCACGATGTGTCTGATGATATCTTCACTCTAAGAGAATGTATCAGTCATTTATTTACACTTGTCCATTTGTAAGTTTCTACACATGAGCTTGGGAATCCCCATGACTAGGAAGGTTTGAAATGTGTTACACTTGGAAAGAGAAGTTTATTTCTTTTAAACATCTGGAATTCTTAGGAAATGATTCAGAATAGTGTGGGCTCATGGAGAAATTTATGAAAAATCCTTTCCATATGTAACTTATCAGATGTGAGGCCTGCTTATGATACTTATGATGAACAAGGTTAGGAACCAAATACAAAACATCAGATAGGACCTGATTCATTAAAAATAAAATTAAAATAACAACTTTGATATGCTTCTCAGCATTTTCAGTTATTTTTATGGGTCCCCAGCTTTTACCATTCTGGAATTCTGAAGTTGAAAGCAATTTACTTCTTTTGTTCTCCGTTTGCCAGTTTAACTCTAGAATCTAAAACTTCAAGGGAATTCTGTGGCCTTCCTCTCCTAATGACATTATTTTGGGCATTATTTTTTTCATTTATCTTTAAAATTATAGTTGACATGCAGTATTAAATTAGTTTCAGGTGTGTAACACGTTGATTAGACATTTATATTCCTTATGAAGCTATGATAAGGCTAGTACTCATCTGACTATGTTTGCTATGCTGTATTTCACATCTCCATGACTAATTTTGTAACAAGCAGTTTGTACTGGTTAATCCCCTTCACCTTTTTGGCTCATTCCCCTCCCACCTGGCAATGGTCAGTTTGTTCTCTGTATCTATAGGTTTGTTTCTGTTTTTTTGTTTGTTCATTTATTTTGTTTTTCATATAAGTGAAATCATATGGTATTTTTCTTTCTCTGCCTTATTTCACTTAGCATGATACCCTGTAGATTCATCCATGTTGTGGTAAATGACAAGATTTCATTCCTTTTTATGGCTGAGTAGTATTTCAGTGTGTATATGTATGACAGCTTCTTTACCCATTAGCCTATCAGTGGACACTTAGGTTGCTTCCATACTTCGCTCTTGTGAATAATGTTGCAGCAAACATAGGGGAGCATGTCTTTTCGAATTTGTGTTTTTGATTTCTTCAAATAAATACCCAGAAGTGGGATTGCTGGGTCACATGCAGACCCACTTTTAATTTTCCGAGGAACTGTCATACTGTTTTCCGTGATGGCTCAACCAGTTTACAGTCCCACCAGCAGTGTGCGAGGGTGCCTTTTGTTCCGCGTCCTCTCCAGCACATTCTTTGTCGTCTTTTTGATAATAAATAGTCATTCTGACAGGTGTGAACTGATATCTCGTTGTGGTTTTGATTTGCATTTTGCTGATTATTAGTGATGTTGAGCATCTTTTTATGTGTTTGTTGGCCCTCTGTGTGTCCTCTTTGGAGAAATGTCTATTCGGGTCCTCTGCCCATTTTTTAATTGGATTTTTTAATGTTACATTGTCTTTATTTATTTTGGGTATTAACCCCTTATCAGAGATATCCTTTGCAAATATCTTCTCCCATTCACTTGGTTGCCTTTTTGTTTTGTTGATGGTTTCCTTCACCTGGGAATCAAACTGGTGACTTTTCAGTTGGCAGGCCAGTGCCTCATCCACTGAGCTATACCAGCCAGGGCTATTTTGAGCATCCTTTAGGAAAGATTTATATAATTAATTTTATTATAGTTCCAGATTAAATTTTTAATTTTAAGCAAATTGTCATTTAAGAAAATGTAGAAAATACAAAATTATAGAAAGAAGAAAAAATGAAAACCACCCATGATTCTATCACCTGGATTTAGCTACTGTTAAATACCCCTATTGTTTTTTCTAATCTTAGTTTTTCTTTGTGAGTGGGTGGAGTCTTTACATAGTAGTTCTAACTATACGATGCCTTTTCCCTGAATAGTGTTGTTGAAAGTAGATTATTATAAATACTTGTTGAGTACTTTTCACTGTTGTGCTAAGGGCTTTCACAGACATAATTAAATTTAATCTCTGCCAGAAAAGTACTGTTTTTCTATTTCGAGAAGAGAAAACAGAGGTTAGAGGAGTTCCTACTAGAAAAACAAAGCCCACTCCCATTTCACTAACATTTTCCAACTTACTACATGTATTAAACTTTACAACATTCACGCTAAAAACAATGTTGCTACTAGTTCAAGGATGCATAGTTAGTAAAATAGTAGACTCAAGATTCAAGCTCAGGTCCTACAACTACATGCCTGCGTGCTTTTATTTATTTATTTATTTTTAAAGATTTTATTCATCCGTCTTTAGAGGGGAAGGGAAGGAGAAAGGGAGAGAAACAATGTATGGTTTCCTCTCGTGTATCCCCCGTTGGAAACTGGCCTGCAACCTAGGCATGTGCCCTGACTGGGAATCGAACCACAATACTCTGGTTCACAGGCCCACACTCAATCCACTGAGCTACACCAGCTAGGGCTGCCTGTGTGCTCTTAGTACTATGTCATATCTGCTGAATTTGTCCTTTGAAATTATTTTTATTAAAAATTGTCTTTAGATATTTTTGTTATTCTTACTTAAAATGAAAATTATCATTACAGATATAAGCCTTCCAAAGTCAGCGACAATCTGTTATACAGCAGCACTATTGAAGACAAGGACTGTTTCAGATAAGTAAGCAGTTATAGGAACTACAATAATTAGAAAGACTGCTAAACTCACTGTTATGTTTTCTCTCCACTGACTTTAAACAATGCTTGTGTTCCTTCCTACTTCCTTCTCAATAAAACTTATGGGGTTCTGTGGTTTCTTACTATGTGTAGTGGAAAGAGCAAGGTTTTTAGAGCTAAAGTAAACCTGGGCTCAAATTCAAGTGCACTGCATACCAGGTGTGTATCCTGGGCAAGTTAATCAATTTGAGTCTCTCCCTTATTTGTAGAATAAGAATAAGACAGTGCATATAGTACATACTAGCTATGATGATCATGATAAGATGTGTGGTAGGGAAATAAGTTTCATATTATCTGTTCTGAGATGATAACACCGAATTATTCTGTATTCTTTGTAATTGGGTTGCCTTTAACAAATTTCACTTCATTCCACAGATAACATATTCAGAAACCAACTAAAAGGCGACTATATTCTTTCATCTTAGATTACTCTTCTAGATATGAATTAGAATGGAGTATTCACAGTCTGTTTTCTTTTCATGAAAATTTTATAAGACTGTATTTCTATTTTGTCAAATCCTCTAGAAATCCCTGTGTAGCCTTTTATATTTCATTATCTTTAAAGTGTGCCTTCAATGGACATCTGAAGTCTTTCATTACCTAATTTTGACGGTTTCCATTTCTTATGCTACTTTCTTTATGGTATGTTGGACCAAAGGCTATAATTTGATTAATAGTTATTTGGCTTCACCAGAAAACTTTGACTAAATTATGATCTACAACCATATATTTTTTAATATTTGTTTCTTCATTTTTGTGGTTTTCTTACAGATTCTCTCCAGAAACAGCCTCAAGAAGAGGGTTAAGCACAGCAGAAATGAATGCTGTGGAAGCAATTCATAGAGCTGTGGAATTTAATCCTCATGTTCCAAAAGTGAGAAATTTTATAATAAAAATGCTACTTTATTTAAGTTTATCAAATTGATGACTGTATCCAGACCAAAGTTTGGGTCTCCATAATTTGAGTCAGAATTGTTTTAGTCCACTGTATTTTGAAGTTTATTACTCACCTTAAAGGAGATGTTAAAAGGCATTTGGAAAGGTGGGTAGGAGCAGTAGTAGTTCACTATAGGTTTTGTAATTGCATCAAAATAGAATTTGAAATGTGTTCAATTGGCTGTTCCTTCCACTGTGGTTATAGAGAATAAATAAAATGACTTGACCCTAATAAAAGATCATTCATATTTCTGATTACTAGATTAAATTTCCTATTACAGTGAAGTCTGTTTACATCTAAACAGATGCCTGGGTTTTGAACTAGGGCTGAGTAGACAAAGACTGAAAACAAATAGATTAAAATAATCAATGATAGGAAACAGGTGTGGAAGTTTCCAGAAAAACTGCTGAGTTGATGTTTTTTTGGTCTCAGATGAAACTGTACCCATATTGTTTGTCTTTATATTATGCACCTTCCAGACATACAGATTCTTGGTTAATCTTTGTGTTATCACCCAAGATTAAATTTTGCATTTTAAAAACAATGTTCCATATTAGGACATATAGAATATTCAAGAATAGATGGCTTTATGAGAAAAATGTAATTATAACTGTTGATTCCAGTTTAATGTATGTTAATGGAATTTGGAAGCTATTTAGATTAATCTCTAAGATAATCAAGATATGGAAGTTGTAAATTTTTTAGAGTGAGTAAAGATAGAGCCTAGAAAACAACTGAAATCTAAGCATGAGGGTCAACAAATATTTATACCATTCTCTTATTAATTGACACTGGTCCCATAAATTTAAATATTGATAAAGTTTTTGTCATGAATTTAATGCATATACAGCAAAGTGTAAAAAACAGAAGTGTGCATCTTAATGGTTTATTATAGCAAATGAGTGGAAACTACCACTGAGGTCAAGCAACTGCATTGCCAGCCCCCAGGGGCCCAGCTCACTGCCCTGTACCAATCACAGCTTCTTCCCTCTTGTCCAGAGGTAGCCACTGTTCCGACATTCATTGTGGTCACTTCCTTCTTTTCTTATATTTTTGTTCTGTACTTTTCCTTTGTTATTGGCTTCATAAAACAAGTAGTGAGCTCCTTTTATTTTATTCTCTGGAACAACTTGTGTAAAATTAAAATTATTTCTGCCTTAAACAACTGGTGGAATTTGCTGACAAAGCCATCTGATGGAGAAGGATTCTTGTTACAAATTTTATTTCTTCAGTTTAGTAGTTCAATTACAAATTCAATTTCCTTAACCATTCCATAATCATTTAAATTTCTTATTTCTTGTGTTGCTTCGGTGAATTATATTCTTCTAGAAATTTATCTCATAAAATTTTTCAAATTTATTGGCAGAAAGACTTCATAAAATCCTTTTAATTACCTTGTTAGTGTTTGTGGGATTAGTTATAATATCCACTTTTTACTTTTAAAATTTTTTTTATTTTTTTTCAGTTAGGAATTTCTTTTTTTTATTTTATTTTATTTATTTATCTTTAGAAGGGAAGGGAAGAAGAGAAGGAGAGAAATATCAATGTATGGTTGCTTCTGGTGCATCTCCTGTTGGGAACTGGCCTGCAACCCAGGCATGTGCTCTGATGGGGAATTGAACCTTGATCTTTTGGTTCACAGGCCCGTGCTCAATCCACTGAGCTACACTAGCCAGGGCCCACTTTTTACTTTCTAACACTGGCTATCTATTATTTTCTTTGATCAGATTCCCCAGGGATCTGTCCATTTTATTAATTGCAAAGAACTGAGCCCTGGCTTTGTTTTTCCTCTCTACTGCTTGTTTTCTGGTCCATTCATCTCTGCTCTTTATGGCCTGCCTTCAAGTTTCTCTGGCTCTATTTTATTACTTTTTAGTTCCTATATCTTCTTATATAGATATTTAACTCATTAGTATCCAGCCTTTCTCCTTACTAATATATCTACTTAAATCTATAAACCTCTCTCTAAACGCAATTTAACTGTATACTACAGCACTATTTTTATATAATTTAGTTCAAACTATTTTCTTTTTAAACATATTTTGTCATTTTATTAGGAATAATTACAAATGGGTTATGAAGAAAACTTATTCATTTGAGTTTGATGAGTTTTTTAAAAACTTAATGATTGCCCTGGCTGGTGTAGCACCATGGATTGAACTCAGGCCTGTGAACCAAAGGGTCATCAGTTCGATTCCCAGTCAGGGCACATGCCTGGGTTGCAGGCTAGCTACCCAATAGGGAGCGTGCAAGAGGCAACCACACATTGATGTTTTCCTCCTTCTCTTTCTTCTTCCCTTCCCCTCTCTCTAAAAATAATAAATAAAATCTTTAAAAACAAAAAACTATTAATGTAGATATGCTCACCAATAAGCAATAAAACATAAGCATCAAAGAACCAAGCTAATACCAGAGCAACCTGAAACATTAAAGACATACTATATAAAGAAAGACAATTTGTTGGGTATTAAAAATAATCTCAGTATGAACTCTTTGCTACCAGCACAGAACTAATTAGCTATCAAACCCAAATCACACCAAGGTAAGCTTGGCTGATGGAAGTCAGGAGTCAATAATGAAGGAAAAAAAAGTCCCTTAGTGCAAGAGATCCTAGTAGTGTTTTGGAACATTTCCCTGGCTGGTACAAGCAGTGTTAGAAGATCTTTTTGGCAAGACAGAAAAAGAAACACAAATGGAATGCTACATGTTTTTTTAATCAACAGACTGTCCCAGGGATGATAAAGGTGTCAATAAAGTAGCAAGGGAATAACTTTTAAAAAAGATTTTAAAAATTAACTTTCAGAGAGGAGAGGAGAGGGTGAAATGGAGGGACAGAAATAATCAGTGTGCAAGAGATACATCAGTCAGTTGCCACTTGCACACCTCCAACTGGGGACCTGGCATGTCCCCTCATGGGAAATTGAACCAGCAGCCTTTCAGTTCCCAGGCTGGTGCTCAATCTACTGAGCCACACCAGCCAGGGCAGCAAGGGCATAACTTTAAAACATTATTTGTTATGGGCTCAAAAAAACATTCAAAACAAATTTATTTAAAGATGTCACAATAGCTAAGTCCAGGCATTTAGACTTAAGAGAAATAAAATTAAAAGAGGACCCTTCCCCCCACCACCAAGTTAAGGAGAGTTCTTTAAAACCAAACATATTGTTAAGGTGAAACATTATACTTGGTAAACAATAATTGGCAAAAAAGTAAGTTTAAACGATGTAATCTTCTGCCTAAACCAGTCCCAGATACTGTTCAATAACCAAGATGTAAACTAATTTTGTTGTAACACACCTAGACCACTTCTGTCAAACATGTCCTTGGTTAGACACCTGGTTTCATTTAATATTTTGAAAGCTCATCTAACAGCCAGGCAGGTCCCTCACACAGACCAGCTCCTTGTGTAGCACAAGTGGCTTGAACATACCATGTTCTGTTACTGAGAGGTTGAAGACCTAATTTGTCCTTTATCTTATTGATGGCCATAGTTTTTGGCAAATCCTGTCTGTTTGCAAAAAGCAGCAACACTGCATCTCACAACTGACCTTCCTGAAACACTTACTGCAGCTCTTAGGCTCCTTCCTGAATTCTTTCATGCCCATTGCTATCTACCGCAAAAATAAGACCCTGGATATTCTTGGAGTAATGGAAGTTTTGCTATATTTCTGGTTCACCCTTATTCCTGGGAGGCAGCTTTTGAGGATCTGAATCCAATCCAGAGAGTTTTGCTGAGACACTCACTCCTGACAGCCTTGAACTCAACTTTTGTTCCTCTGGTCTTATGAAACTAGCAAAAAGGCTGACCTGCCTTTTAGCCATCTTGTCCAGAATCAGCAAGTGTCACTACAAAAAAAGAAGCCCCAAATGTGGCTTACTATTCTGATCTCAGCCTTCTTTGCACTGTGGCCTGGTAATTCCTCACCCTTTATTAACTGTGATGTATTTGATTAGAATTTAAAAATATTTTGTTCAGCCTTTCTAGTTGTCTGGGAAGATTGATCTGAATTAGCCAGTCTTCCATTACTGCAAGCTGAGGTCTGAAAATACTTTCATATGAAATGCTCTGCTCTTTTAGTCTTCAGAGTAGTTAGGAGAATGAATTCTGCAAACTAGACTGCCTAGGTTTGTGTTCTGGCTCCACTACTTAACCAGCTGTATGACCATGGACAAGTTACTTCTCTGGACTTGAGTTTCTCCTTGTGTAAAATAGGGATAATATTCCCTTCCTCTCAGAGTTGTTATTAAGATTAAATGACTTCAGTTCTTTAAAGTGCTTAGAAGGGTACCTAACATACAGTAAGCATTACAGAAGTGATTGTTACTGTTATTACCCTGGATGGGGTGGAAATCTGTTCCTTGTGTGAGAAGATGAGCAGCAGTTCTTAGTCATAACCATTCAAATTAAATATACCACTGAGATATCTAAAACTTTTATTTAGTTCACATGCAAAATAAGGAAATACGAACTCCTTCCTATGGCTATGGACTTCTTTCCTGCCTCAGAAACCGTCTTGTGCAAAATATATTCTCAGCAGTAATAATTTTGATGATATGAATTGGATTTTTTAAAACTACTGCTGGTGTCCCATGAGTGGGAGAGGGCAGTAGAAATTCTAGGTGTTGCCCTAATTACAAAAATAAATTTTTGAATAGGTTATATATACTAATTTACAGATTAAATATGCTCTAGATAATCTATGATGCTTTTAGGGATACTATTTTCAAAACACATACACACATACACACAGAAATACTACTAAACAATTCCGAGAGAAATGAAAGAAAACCTAAATAAATGGAAGGTATATGCGATGCTTATGAATCAGGAGACTTAATAGTGTTAAGATCACAATTTTCCTCTAATTGATCTATAGATTCCATGCAATTCCTAGTAAAATCCTAACAGGTTTACTTGTAGAAATTGACCAGCTCAT